CCAGGCGGGTCGCGAACCTGCGGGCTCAGGCAATTCACTCACCTCAGCCTCCCAAAGGCGTGGGATTACAGGCTGAGCCACTGAGCCTGGCTCACCTACTGTTTTAAAAAGGCACAGGTATCGATCAGTTATCCCCATGCAGCCATCTCTTCCCTCCAAGGTCCAGCTGTGTCCCCCATCCTCTCCTCTCTGCCATCCCAGCTGCAGGGCCACGTGTGCCCAGGGCTCTCTCTGCACCTGGGAGCTGGAGTCTGGGGGGCTGTAACCATGGCATGCCCCCGGCAGCCACACCCGCCTCCTTCCCACCCTCAGGTGTGACCCCTGAAGACCAGGACCCCTATGTCTGTGGAGCTCGAAACGTCTTTGGGAAGGTCCAGGCTGAGGCCCGGCTCATCGTCACTGGACACGGTTCACGGGACGTGGGAGGTGGCTCCTCCTAGGGCATAGCCGGGCCATGGGCTCCCCCAGGGAGGCTACTCCTGGCCACCAGGACAGATGTGTTCATGGCCATGTCCTCCAGGAGGAGCGTCTGTGCTGTCCCGGGCTTCCTGGGCACTGTCCTGGGGCCCTTTGACTCTTCAGGATTCTCCATTCTGATGTCCCTGTGTGGCAGAGGCCATGACAACCCGGGGCTCAGCATGGGAACCAAATGAAGACACCCCCCGGAAGGCAAAGCCCCAGAGGGGATCTGTGTGTGTGGCACAGCCCCATGGAAAGTCTTGAGGAAAGTTCTGCATAGCTGCCCTGTGACTCATGGTCGCCTGGTTATTCCCATCATATTATTATGCTCCTGCCTTATAGGAATCATACGTTTCAATCTCCCTCGAAAAAAGAATAATGTGACCAGAACTGAAGGGTACAGTGTCTACAATGCCAGTAATAAAGCGTCAATGTTTCAACATCGGCTACACCCCAGGAAATGTAAATAAGAATAGGAGAGGTCATGACGACCCAATCGTCAATAAAATCAATTACTGTGACATCCACTGCAACAAAATGTACCTTTAACTGTATGGCAGATGAAACACTTAGAGATTTTCTATTAAAGTTGTGACATAAGGAATTAACAGAAACTGAGGTAAAAACTGTTACAGATAACATAGGTATAGTTAAACATCAGATTAGTCATAAGACTGGAACTCCAAAAAATAAAGCCCCTAAGCCCTTATCTACTATTTGAGCAGGACAGCATGTGGGATATAATATTAATGGTAGAGTCTGGTGGGCCCCTAGGGGTAGAAGCCGCATGCAAGATTTATCGTGGCTTGATCCTCCTTTACCTTACACCGGAACTTATGATGAAGATATGGTTAGGTGGGCTTGGGTAGATAGCAGATGTGTTAAATGGAACTCTCTGTCTCTCTGGGAAAGAATGAAATGTAGTAGCCCACTATGGTGTTTAATTCCTAAAGCACAGAAAATAAAAATTTTCTACAAAGTAAACCAATGGTATAAGAAAATTAAATGTAGCTATTATGTAATAGAAGATTGTGAGAATAGATATAATTAGCTAAGCTTGATAGAAATGTAGCGGGAAAAATAGAGAGACCGTGACACCGAGACTGTTATGGGAAGTGGCACTTTATTATGCTGGCTAGCACAGTGGGCTCAATGGAACTAATGCATCCAGACCGAGCGCCCCAGAACAGGTGACCTGGGGTCTTATACCCTCGTTTAGGTAAGGGAGGGGAGTCATGTTGAGTGATTACATACTTCCTTTGGAATCTTACAAGGTTGTACTCAGCAAAATCAGATTTTTCAAAGAACAAATGGTTTCCAGGAACTGCAGGATTGTCAACCATCAACTTCAGAAGGGGGGTTTTAGATAAGACTCTTTTCCATTTCCATGAAATAGCCAGTCTCTGGGCCATTTGGCCTTTCTTAAACAAAACCTGCCTGGTGCAGGGCGGGTCTTTAGAGTTGCAACTTGCCTTTCAAAAGGAAATATCTTTTAACTGCTATCCACCCCTCCTTCTTGCTGCTGGGTTAGTGGCAGCCCGGGTGAGGCCGACTGCTGATCCTGAACCATCTACATGTTTCTGTGTTTATTCACTCAATTATACAAGAAATATATTTGAGCATTTGCCGCATCCTGCCACATTCCCCACTTTGATGCTTGTTCTTTTATGGATCTAAAGCATCATTATCCTTAATTTGGTGCATCAGCATTATATGGGCTGCAGTTATTCATTTAACAACTATTTCCACAAACTCAGAAATGGCGTTCATACTTATTGGGGCTATGCCAAGGAGGATAAGGCAGGATCCCACCATTAGGACTATAGATCCAGTAATATACTTAAATCCTCCCAGACCCGAGAACATGTTTTCAAACCAACTGCCGTTTTTTATGCCTTGTCATTCTATCACTGGGACATGGGCAAGTTTTTTTAACATTGGTGGGTATATTAGTTATAACTTTACCATTATTATCTATTTGCAAACAACAGTCAGAGTTATTAAATTTACCACATACTCCTCCTTTTTCCACCAGCAGGTAGTCCAAAGCTAAATGGTTTTGATAAGTAACTGCATGCCTTTGGGCTGCTGCTGAGCAACAAGCTCAAAAGCTGTGGCTGTTTAATTAGTTATAATTTCTAGGACAGTTTGTAACCTGATAATGCAATTTAACATATACATATAGGCGTGCAGCATTTCCGACTCCCATCTTGTGCCCATGTGGCTGGGCCAAAAGTATTTATAATTCTCTGGGGTGGCCATTTGTCATTTTTCCAAATCTAGGTCCCTCCTATTTTAGGAACTTGATTGAGGGATCGAACACTTTGGGCTTTGAGACTTTCATAAAAAGGAATGCCTACTTCATTCCCCTGGGTTAGGCAGAAGGAAAAATCCTGGCTGGATTATTCCTATGTTACATGTGCCTTTTCATAATGCTGGGAGCTGGGCATATGCAACCTTTCCACATATCCGAAATAGCCCTTTAGTACATTGAGAAGATTTAGTTGCATAAGCAGATGCCCAATACCAAACAGGCTTTGTTGGCCACCAGGTCTGGTGGGTTGAATTCCAGTATAATATTCTTTTGCAAGGAGTCTCTCCTACCCATTGAGTAAAAGCAGAACCTGCTCTGCTTAAACAGCTCCAATTACTTTTGAGGAGAGGATCCACTTCTGGGGTACATTATCTGTTCTAACAGTCAAAGAATGGTTCCATTGGAGGAGTTGGTAAGCATTCAGATTAGTTCCGTTACAAGGCCACTCTTTAGTCATTAGTGCCCCTCCACATACCCAACAATTGGTGACACCAAGTGTCCGAGCTATATTTTCAGTCAAATTTATAAACAGATTCTGCCCTACTTCCCACGATTGAGGGAAGGGGGTTAGTTTTGACTGATGGGCAGTCGGAGGAACTACTAATCGCACAGTTTCTTTAATCAGCTTTTCAGCTTTGGGTGAGGGAGCAAAATTCCAACAAACCCAATTTGTGCTTCTGGGGGTGTTACAAGCTATGACACCAGCTTTAGTGTATTGGTAGCTTTGTTTTGATAATCCAGCAAAGTACAGCTGGTCATTATGGGTGCAGATATGTTTATCAGTATAACAAACTTCTGGCTGGGATGAATAACAATGGAAAACCTTTAAGTCTGGCCAGATAGTTTCTATACATTCACATGCTGGGTATAGGGGGGAAGCGGTAGATACCCAGATTAGGTAGAAATACATAAAAGCACAAGTAAACTTCCTAATGTAAGAAAGGACGGAAATGCTAGTGAAATCCTTTTCTAACATGATCAATGGGTACAACTGTTAATTCTACAACAAATAAAGTTACAAATGGTTTAGCAAGTATAAAGGTTGACAAAGCAAAACAAAGGCTTATCAGTAATGTCCGCTGGTCCTTAAGCCAAATCCTCAATCCTCTGCCATGCATGGATCAATCAGCTTCCAGAGTGTGATTGAAGCAGGGCCTGAAGTATCCTCACGCTTCTGGAGCAGGGCTGGATAAATTAGTTCCACGTCCTTCATTGGACTCTGCAACTTTCCAAATGGTCAGCTTAAGGGGCGCTGCTGGATCTGCGGTGCATTCCCAGTCCTGGAAACTGGCTTAATTCTGCTATAATGGATCCAAGGAACTACTTCAGCTACTTTGAAGTTGTTGATTGGGTCCTTCCTTTCTTCAATTTTTAGCAGCACTTACTCCCTTTGGATGTTTGAGTTTCTTCTGGTCCAAGAAGCGTCTAGGGAAATAAGCTCATAAAGTGTGATTAAAATTTATCCCAAATAGACAACACATTTTCTTATGAGCATTTACGTTTGTGGCCCCCCTTTCCTTTAGAGGCCTGCAGTTAAACAATTTCAAAGGCTTGACAAATTCCATTTCAGGGACTTGGATCCTGAGTGATGCAATACCAAATACCTATGTTTAGTTTACTCATGTCTCCAAAGGATTTCTAGTGATTATTATGCTAACCCACAAACTGAAAGATTATACTGTCCTAGTTTTACTTTTGATGGAGTTTTCCCTGGATTTGCCAAGAGGTGGGATAGGTTGCCACTTAGCCTGCAGTAGAAACGTTTGAAGGCCTTTTAAAACCTACCTATAGGAGATTTATTTATGTCTAGCCTCTGCTAGCTACCCTGCCTTAATTATTTATTCTTTAGAGATTTTTCGATCCCATAATCATTTGGGGTGCTGAAGGGTGAAGGTCTATCTTCTGTAATTTCTTCAGAGCTGATAATGGGCACAGTCCTGCCTAGCCAGAGATTGAAAATCTCTCCCCATCTGACTTGAGGCATCCAGATTTGTTTCAGCAGTGGCATTATTTGCAGGCACTGGCTGGAATTTTTGCATGACCATTATGTGGGCATGGATTCTAGCTCAATAAAAGGAATAAAGTCAGGTTTACATTTTGACAATTGTAGGCAGTGGCTGATTACCTTTTTATACAAAAGCTACAAGGCCTGAAGTTATTAGCATAACTTAAATGATAAACTTTAATTTCTGTAGCTTTATTACAATTACCAGCTTTTGTATTTCTGGACTATAATGGTAGCCTGACAGATTGTTTTAGGCTATAATTTGAACTAGGCACTTAAGTAAATTCTATATAAAATTTGAAGAGAAATCTGGAAATGTTTGGAGACTTGCATTCAGAAAAGACTTTATTATGCCTAGATTGTTGAATTTCTTTTGTATGTATATTTTTCTTAAACCTTCCTTATACCATTTTTGGCATGCTTATAGCATTTTATTTTTGTACTCTACCTCCTTTTAAAAAATTTTCATAACTATCTACTTCATTATAGGACAGAAATGTACCATATAAGATTTCCTCTTAGATAAATGTATATATTTCTTATATTCCTTTCTTTTTTGTTTTCCTGCTAAACCTTATTTGTATGCCAACAACCTTTTTACATTTTTCCTTTGCTTTTTGCTTTCCTTTTTATTTATTTATAGATAACCTTTTACAGTCATAATTTGAATTTACCTTTTAGTAACTGTTAGGTGAAACATTTAGTTTTTGGAGCACCTTTAATCCTACTGGAGAACAGGTTTTAGGAGGAAGAAGTTCAGTATGAGCACAAGGGCTAAAAACTTAGCCTCAGTATTAATTAAGAAATTAATTTGGACCCAGCCACATTTATAAAGACCCAAGGATTCTCTGGGTGGATGGCATACAGAGCGCTGCACTGGGCCATGTCCCTTCCCCTTCAGTCAACAGCCATTATCACTGGGCTAGGTGTTTCCTCCCCCTTTGGGAGAGGCTACACCATCTCTTTCAGTGGCTTTTTAGTCCAGATATTGGACAAAGTTCTGGGGCCTTAGGCTATTAAGAACAATTGTGCTTTAGGTGCCCAGATTGACCACATTCATAGCAGCTGATACCATCCCCTTAGCAGGTTTATCCTTATCAGGCCTCTTTTGGGTGACTGGAGCTTTTGATTTTAGTGACAACTGCCAATTTGTTTACCTTTCCTCTGGCTGGTGCTCATTTTGGAGTTCTTCCTTTTTTTCTTCTTTCTTAATGCTTCAGTTTCTAAGAACTTTAGAGGCTTTCTATAATTGGGAGTTTGGTATTCCTAGTCCTGAGTTAAGCCTCTGAAGCTTGGCATTTAATATTCTATAGGATATAATCTTGTTTGCAAAGTAGTGAAATAAATTTTTTTTAAATGCCTCTGCATACAGAACTTTTGACCATTTTATTTTTCCTTAGGTCTACAAAGTGAATTTAATTGCCAGATAGTTTTATTCTTTTCCAAATCTTATTATCTGCCAACTTGTAGTGAGTTCAAATTTGATCTTTTTTTAAAATAATGCACTTATTATTGTTAAACCACGTGATTTTAATTTGCTCCGATTATTCAAAATCTGTCCTATCGGAGTATCCGAGGACACAGACCACTACACACTCTCTTGGTCACGTTACATGAAAACCCAGAATTTGCTCTGAACACTTGCAATTTATTCCTCAAAGGAGAATTCTAACAAATAACTAAATAAAGTCATAAAGGGCAATGCCAGGAATTCCTGGAACCCTGATGCTTCTCTCAGACTGAGTGTTCTCAGCCTTTCTTGAAGCCCTCTTTTTTTTCTTTTGCTTCACAACTTTCCAATGATGTCTACAAAAATGACCTGGTTCAAAACCTTTTAGAGTGAACAGACCACGAAGATGTAAAATGATCTGTTCCTACATATTCCTAATTATGAATAGGCAAAATTGTCAAAAATCCTCATGAATTACTAAACAGCAGCTTTAGTCGTAAGACGTGGACAATTAAATGAGCCTAGCCAAAAATGCAAACTTTAGTGTTACTTAGCATTACAATATAAAGTAGGGACTCAGCATACATGACAAGGCTCTAAGAGACTTCCCAACAGTTTTACAGGGACAAGCAGTTGATTACGATCTTAGGCAAGGCCTAAACCTTTAGAAATGGACTTACTTGCCGGGCTCGTGGCTCAGCCTGTAATCCTGCGCCTTTGGGAGGCTGAGGTGAGTGAATTGCCTGAGCCCGCGGGTTTGAGACCCACCTGAGCAACTTGGCAAGAACTTATCTCCACAATAAATCAAAAATCAGCTGGGAGTGGTAGTGCACGCCTGTAATTCCGGCTACTCAAAAGGCTGAGGTGGAAGGATCGCCGGAGTCCAGCAGGTTGAGGCTGTGGTGGCTGGGAGTGGCCACTGCACTCCAGTCTGGGTGACAGAGTAAGACTCCAACTCAAAAAAAAAAAAGAAAGAAAGAAACGGACTTACTTTCAACTAACTTGGCTTTTAGCATTCGAAAATGACAACAGCCTATTCATTTCTTTAGCTGCCAGAGAAAGATTACAAAATCCTTTTCTTTTTTTTTTCCTTTTTCCAAGGCTAGCATTAACTTACACTGAGTTAGCAAAAGGCTAAGTAGCATATAAGAGACAATTCTCCGTTTCTTTACAGGTGGATTAGAATGAGCCCCTTCAGAATTTATGAAGGAGAACACAGGCTAAGAAAGAAAGGGGGAGTGGTCCCAGAAAAGTATTTAAGATAACCAGTAACACTTATACCCAACAGGCAATTTTCCACAACCTTAACAACAAAAGGCAGAAATTTTTAACAGCGCCAACGGGTTGGGAGAAAACACCACACAAATAAAGGGAGGCATAAAATGACATAAAGAAATATGCACCAATCAAGTTTTAAAAGTCGACATGTCCTATCACACAAAGCATAATAACTCAACCAGCTTTTTAGCAGATTTAAAGTGACAGACACACACAAATAAGAGAATGAGGGGTATGGGAAACATCCGCTTTGTCCCCCTCCAGTCATACTCCTCACGAAGATATCTCAGACACCTCTTAGCAATGGGTAGGTTGGTACACCCCCAATGCAGACTAACTATGCAGAGCCCTCCCGACATCCGTCTCATTCACACACAAGCACACAGCACATTCGTCAACTCTCCATCCTAATCCTAGGAGCTTACGGGTTCATCTTCAGACAGTGTTTCCTTTCACTGCCTTTCAGCCCTTTCCTTCAGGCTGGAAGATTACTAGCAGGCTCCGGGAGGTGATCAAGCTCCCCTTCTGCCATCCCTTGGCAGGTCTATGCAAAGGCCTTTATTCCTACCCTTTCTATCGGGTGGTTCTTCTGTCCTTTCCGTCAGGTGGTCATCCTTGTGCCAGTTCCTCGCCTCTTGGGTTCCTGTTGTGCTTTCGTGGTACAAGCTTCAGTGCGCTGGGAGGGGCCTCCCTCCTACAGATCAAAAGGTCCATTGCGCGCCAGGCGAGACTGCCCTTCCCATTGCCCTGTAGGACGTACCCCGATGACAAAGGAGGTGGAACACACCATCTCCAATCTCCATTTCTCTGCCAGTGCACCAGGAATGTAGCGGGAAAAATAGAGAGACCGTGACACTGAGACTGTTATGGGAAGTGGCACTTTATTGTGCTGGCTAGCACAACGGGCTCAATGGAACTAATGCATCCAGACTGAGTGCCCCAGAACAGGTGACCTGGGGTCTTATACCCTCGTTTAGGTAAGGGAGGGGAGTCATGTTGAGTGATTACATACTTCCTTTGGAATCTTACAAGGTTGTACTCAGCAAAATCAGATTTTTCAAAGAACAAATGGTTTCCAGGAACTGCAGGATTGTCAACCTCAACTTCAGAAGGGGGGTTTTAGATAAGACTCTTTTCCATTTCCATGAAATAGCCAGTGTCTGGGCCATTTGGCCTTTCTTAAACAAAACCTGCCTGGCGCAGGGCGGGTCTTTAAAGTTGCAACTTGCCTTTCAAAAGGAAATATCTTTTAACTGCTATCAACCCCTCCTTCTTGCCGCTGGGCTAGTGGCAGCCCAGGTGAGGCTGACTGCTGATCCTGAACCATCTACATGTTTCTGTGTTTATTCACTCAATTACACAAGAAATATATTTGAGCATTTGCCGCATCCTGCCACATAATTAGTAATAATGACTTTTTGAAATTGTTCAGTTATAAAAATAAGTTAGGAATATTTAGACTAGATGAACTAAGTTTTGTGCGGATCTACATATTATTGCTTTAATAGCTGATTGTCCTTTTTTACTTTTTATTTTCCTTATAGAAAGTTATATATTTTCATGAAATAGGATGTTAAGTTTATAAGGTTAATAGTCTAGCAGGTGGTGGTAGTGATAACCATAAAAACTGGTTTTGGGTTTATGGGCAAGTTGTATTAATTATTAACTTTATAATAAATCTTGTAAGACATGAGAGCATGCAGTGTCTGTGACAAAATAATGAAATCATTCTGTGATTGTATAACCACAAAAAATGATTAATTTATAATTTACTATAAATAAATGTAACCTGGTATGTTTGATTGCCAGAGTGCCTAAAAAAACTCTGGTCACGACTCCTCATTCCTTTGCCTCATCACACCTCCTTCTCGGGTCCCCGTGAACCCCCTGGAGCTGGTCTCCGACACCTGTGGGTGCCCTGGGAGGGAGAGAGGCTGTGACGGCCCCTGTCCCCCAGATGGCCATCTGCATGGAATCTGTTGAGGCTGACACCATCTCATCTCCCCTCAGTCCCACCCCAGATCGCCAGCAGCACCTCCACCATCCGGGTCCTGGAGGGACAGCCCATCTCCCTGCCCTGTGTCATGCTGGCCGGGCAGTCCCTTCCAGAGAGGCACTGGCTTAAGGATGGCCTGTCTGTGACTGTTGGGCTTCTGGGTGCGGTGGGTGGTGGCCTGGGGAAGGAGGGGGCTGTCACATCCATACTTGGTCTCTGGTTTGCTATTGCCCTGTTTGGAATGTCCTCTCCTTCTTCCCTCTCTTTTATTTTGAGTCTGGGGTCTCCCTCTGTCACCCAGACTGGAGTGCGGTAGCACAATCACCGCTCACCAAAGCCTCCACCTCCCGGGCTCAGGTGATCCTCCTGCATCAGCTTTCTGAGTAGCTGGAACGACAGGTGTGCACCACCATGCCTGGCTCATTTTAATTTAATTTAATTTTATTTTATTTTGAGTTGGATTCTCACTCGATCGCCCAGACCGGAGTGCAGTGGCCGCTCCCGGCCACCGCAGCCTCGCCTGCTGGGCTCCGGCGATCCTTCCGCCTCAGCCTTCCAAGTAGCCGGAATTACAGGCATGCGCTACCACGCCCGGCTGATTTTTTTTTTTTTGGCTTATTGTAGAGATGAGGTCTCGCTGCCCAGGTGGGTCTCGAACCCGTGAGCTCAGGCTCATTTTATTTTTTTAAGATGAAGTCTCGCTATGTTGCCCAGGCTGGTCTCGAACTCCCAGGTTCGAGCAATTCTCTTGGCTCGGCCTCCCAGAGTGCTGGGATTACAGGTGTGAGCCACCTCTTTCTTTACCTCTTCCTTTTCCTCAATTCTTCTGCCTTGTTTTCAGACACACCAGGGGTCCCTGTGCCCTGGAGGCTGCAAAAAGGTGCCCTTCTATTAATTTAAGGTGCCAGTAGGTGGGCACTTTAGGGAGGCAGTGGCAGGAGTGTGGGATGAGAAGTTTCCTGGAAGATGACACCTTGAGCAGACCTGATGGGCGTGTGGGACAGAGTGGACTTGGGCCTTCTCCACACCGGACTGGGGAGAGACCCGTCACGCCGAGCCTATTTGCTCCGTGGGGCATTGGTGGAATGTCACACATCCCCAGCCGGGCAAGGAGAGACACCACTTCACCCTCACTCAGCCCCAGAGGGCCTGGGCCCAGGTGGGCTAGAAGCCTCTCTGGGATCCTGAGGGTGGGACGTGCCACCGGCTCCCAGGACCAGGTCCACCGAGGTTGGGTCAGGTCTGCCGGGAGAGTTTCTTGGGCCCCTCTCCACGGTGGGCTGGTGGAATGTCTGCACAGATTTTCTAGGCCCGATTTCGGGGTTGTGCCCCCTCACACCACCCTGGTCCTGCTGGGTCAGAACTGGAAAGGGCCTAAGAGCCTCCATTTCCTCTGCTCACGAGGCTCTGTTTGTCCCCACGGGGGTGTCCCTGCTCTCCGTGCCTTGGGTGGAAGAGCTGCCCCTAGGAACCCCGGCCCTGACTCACTGGTGGCTCTGGCCTCCACCTCACATTCCCAGGAGAGGCTCCCCCAGGCCCAGCTTGAGTCAGGCCGAGGGAGAGGTGGGGTCAGAGGGTCAGGGGGTCCAGCCCTCCTAGTCCTGCGGGGCCTGGGGGACCTGCATAGGGCACATGGGGGTGACTCAGAACCCCTCGGCCTCCTCCGAAGTCCTGGCATCTCAGTCCAGCCTGTGAGCAGAGGAGTTTCCCAAGGGTTCTCTCTCGGCGGTCCCCAAGTGGGGCCCATGGCCAAGAGGCTGCCTCCCCCCACCCCCAGGTCCTGCCTGGCAGCTGACATTCCATCCGAGCCAACAGCAGCCTCCACCTCAACCGGGCGCTGCAGGAGGACGCGGGGAGGTACAGCTGTGTGGTCACCAATGCGGCCAGCTCTCAGCATCGTGACGTGAAGCTGGTTGTCCAGGGTGAGTCTCGGGGCCCCAAGGTGGTGGGTGGGGTAGGACGGGGGACAGGATGGGGCTTGGGGAGAGGCATGGGGGGAACTTGATCTTTTTTTTTTGAGTTGGAGTCTTACTCTGTCACCCTGGCTGGAGTGCAGTGGCATGCCCATGGCCACCGCAGCCTCGACCTGCTGGGCTCCAGTGATCCTTTTCCCTCAGCCTTCGAAGTAGCCGGAACCAGAGGCATGTGTCACCATGCCCGGCTAATTTTTTGATTTATTGTAGAGACAGGGGCTCGCCACGTTGCCCAGGCTGGTCTTGAACTCGTGGGCTCAGGCAATCCTCCTGCCTCTGCCTCCCAAAGTGCTGGGATTACAGGCTTGAGCCACCTTGCCCAGCTGGGATCTTGATCTTGAACACCTTGGTTTTAAAAATTGCACATAGGCCAGGTGCAGTGGTGTGATTACAGGCATGAACCACTGTGCCCGGTATTAACTATTTTAAAGCATGTGATTCACTTTATCTTGTGACCAATACTGACACCCATCTCTACAACTTTTTTGTCATCCTGAACTGAAACCGTCCCCATGACTCAATAACTCCCCATTCCTCCCTCTCCTCAGCCCCTGGGAGCCACCCTTTCCCTTCCTGTCTCTGTGAATCTGACTACTCTGGGGACATCAAATAAATAGAATCACCCAGTATTTGTCCTCCTAGGCCTGGCTTATTTCACTTGCATGTTTTCAGGATTTATCCATGTTGTGTCATGTCATAACTGTATCCCTTTTTAAAAATAGACTGGATTTTTTTTTAGTTGGGGTCTCACTCTGTTGGTCAGGCAGGAGTGCAGTGGCACAATCACAGCTCATAGCAGCCTCAACTTTCTGGGCTCAGGCGATCCTCCCACCTCAGCCTCCTGAGTAGCCTGGCTCATTTAAAAAAATTTTTTAGCTGGGCTTGGTGGCTCAGCCTGTAATCCGTGCCTTTGGGAGGCCGAGGTGAGTGGATTGTCTGAGCCCGCAGGTTCGAGACCCGCCTGGGCAACTTGACGAGACCTCATCTCTACAATAAATCAAAAAATTAGCCGGGCGTGGTAGCGTGCACCTGTAGTTCCAGCTACTTGGAAGGCTGAGGCGGAAGGATCGCCGGAGCCCGGCAGGTCGAGGCTGCGGTGGCCGGGAGCGGCCACTGCACTCCAGTCTGGGTGACAGAGTGAGACTCCAACTCAAAAAAAAAAATTTTTTTTTTTGTAGCGATGGGGTCTCGCTGTGTTCCCAATTGGTCTCAGACTCCTGGGCTCAAGCTATCCTCCTTCTTCAGCCTCCCAAAGTGCTGGGATTACTATGCCCAGCCTCGTTCCTTTTTAAGGCTGAAGAATATCCCATTGTATGCACACACCACATTTTGTTTACATTCACTGTTGATGGACATTTGGGTTGTTTCCACCTTTGGGCTATTGTGAATCATTGCTGCTGTGAACACTGGCTTATGAAATTGCTTTATTTATAAGAGTGCCATCTAGGATCCATCCCATGGCCACCTCCCACATCACCAATGAAGGGGTTCTGGCCTCTCTCCCCTCTGTCACCTCAGGAGTTCCCACCTCCACCATCACCTGGACCAAGGTAAGCAGAACCTGTTCCTGAGAGGGGCACTGGAGAGCTAGGCCTGGTGCACCCTGGGAGGGCAGTGGACTCTGCTGACGCCACTGTGTGTCTGCCCTGGGAAAGCAGTGCCCTGACCTCCAGGGGTCCGCACTACAACATGAGCAGGGACAGCACCCTGGTCATCATCCAGCCATCTGCCCGGGATGCAGGGGCTTACGTCTGCACAGCCACCAACACGGTGGGCTTCTCCAGCCAGGAGATGTGGCTTTCGGTCAGCAGTGAGTGGTGGTGGGCCCTGCCCTGGGGACAGGCTCTGTGGGCGTGGGGGAGAGGGTGGTTCCACCTTAGCCTTTTGGAACCGGATTCTTGAGCCTTGTTAATGCAAGAATAGCTCAAGCGATCCTCCTACCTCAGCCTCCCAAAGTGCTGGGATTACAGGCGTGAGCTGCCCTCCTCAGCTGGTTAGATGATTAATTGCGTAGTGAGTTTTTTGGTTTCCTGTGTACCCTAAATACTATGAGGACAGGGCAGGGTCTGTCTCCTTTGCTGCTGTTTCCCGGCATTTATTTCCCTCAGGGCTGCCACTCAGCAAGTATGTGAGACGAGTGAGGAAATGCATATGCGGCCTTTTTCTATCATAGACTCTTCCAGCCAATATTTTTTTTTGTTTTAGTTGGAGTCTCACTCTGTCACCCAGACTGGAGTGCAGTGGCCGCTCCCGGCCACCGCAACCTTGACCTGCTGGGCTCCGACGATCCTTCCGCCTCTGCCTTCCAAGTAGCTGGAACTACAGGCACGCGCTACCACGCCCGGCTAATTTTTGATTTACTGTAGAGATGAGGTCGTGCCAAGTTGCCCAGGTGGGTCTTGAACCCGCGGACTCAGGCAATCCACTCACCTCGGCCTCCCAAAGCACTGGGATTACAGGCTGAGCCACCGAGCCCGGCCTAATATTTTTATCCTTGTTATTTACTTTTGGAGATAGGGGTCTCCCTGTTGCTCAGGCTGATCTCAAACTCTTGACCTCAAGTGATCCTCCTGCCTCAGGTTCCCACAGTGCAGGCATTACAGGCAGGAGCCACCACGCCCAACCACAGCCACTATTATATTGTAAAAAGATTTTTTAAGAGGGGATTATTTTCTTTTGGAACTAATGACATACAGGAGACCAAACGAGGGCTGGGTGAGTTTTGATGTCCCGACTGGCTAGCCTGTTTCATGATTGCTTCTCAGACATGTAGGGATGTCCTACATGGGGGGCGGGAAGGAAGGAGGGGTTCAATGCCGTCTCTGCCACCAAGGAGTCTCCAACTTTACATGAGAGGCGACATGCACAGATGCTCTAAACCTTGGTCAGGCGTCAAGAGGGAGAGTTTGTGCATCTTCTGGTGGCCAGCTTGATGAGAGTAAGGAGGATGATCAAGGAAGAAGCTAGAGAGGAGGAAGAGTTCCGAGCCTGCTGGTGTGTCCCTCAGGAGGGGTCAGCAGGACTGAGATAAGTCAGAGAAGGCACAGACGTTACGGCAGGAGGGATCGGGTCAGGGTTGTCAAAGCTAGACAGGCATCCAGGAAGAAGGTGGTGGTGGAGAGCAGGGAGGGGGAGAACTCAGCAAACACCCTTGGATCGGAGCCCCTGCCTGGAAGCTGGACATTCCTGGTCATGACAAACCACACCCACCTCCTGGGTCCCCTGAAGGTCAAGGTTGCAGTCCCAGCTCTGCTTCCTGGGGGGTTGTCCCATGGCCTGAGGCCTTCCCAGTCCCCACCCCATTGCCCTGTTCTGCCTGCTCCCCCAACAGCTAAGCCCATGCTTCATGCGAACTGGTCACGTGATACAGATGGGCCTCTGAGAGTCATGGTGAAGGCTGGTGAAGAGGTGACCTAGGCCTGCGAGGCCCAGGGCTCCCCAACCCTGCTGGTTACCTGAACAAAGGACTCCCGCCCTGTGCTACCCATCACTGACCGGCAACCCCGACCCCGTGGCCCCACGTTGGGAAGGGGCAGAGCTTAGGGCTGGAAGGAAACAGACTCCAGGTGCCCAGTGGCCCAGCGGGTGTCTTGGATGCTGTGGACCCTTCCCTGGGAGTGCTCCTGGATCCCTACACACAGGGTTGTTGTCCATGGGTCCCCAGAGCATCTGAAGGGACCTCTAGAGGGTGCACGGAAGCTCAGGATGAGATGCCCCCTTGGAATGACATGGACAGAACCGACCACTGGTTGCTGTGATTGGAACTGACCTTAGGCTGGAAAAGAACAAGGCTGTGGCTGGGACTGAGCGTCCACCGTGACACATGCCACTGCCATGTCTGCTCTGCAGACCAGGTGTCTGGCGGCCAGGCTTTCTGACTCAGCAGCACCCTGTCGGATCCTGGGAGTGGGCAGACAGGGAGGAGGCAGGCTTGGGCGTCCTTCAAAGCCAGGCGGGACCCCCAGGAGGCGGTGTTGGGGGATGCTGGCTCCAGCCAACAGGAATGCCTTGAAACTCCTGGGGCCTTTGACCTTGGGGGACACTGTGGCTCCGACCAGTGACATCAACCCTGGTGAGGTCTTTGAGTTGTCCCAGGCCAAGAAGGTCTCGGGACAGCTGCTCTGAAATGCCCCCCTTCCCACTGACCCCCACACGTGTGCCTGCATCTCAGAACATCTGTTTCACCAAACCCTGCCAAGCCTTGCAGCCAGGCACCCCTGAAAGTGGCCGGAGCTCAGGGTGTTGGCCTTGGGTGGCGTCCTAGCGCCTTGCTGGGTGGTAGCGGTTGGCTGGCAGGGCACGTGTTTATTTATGGTTTCTTGCTGAAGCTGGAACCATGTTCCCTTTTGTCACCCCTCCTCGCTGGGGTGCATTAATGGGTCAGCCAGGAGTTGTAAATCTACAGGCGGTTGCTTTCGCTACCTGAGAGCTCTGGTCTGTTCACTCTGCTTGCCCTCTTCACTGCTTGCTGGTGTGCGGTTTTTCCTCTCAAGAGTTATGGGATCCTGGGAGTTTATTTAAGCAAAGAGAAAACGTGTGCTTGGGGAGTGGGTTGGGGCTGATGTGTGCTCAGGCCCCAGAGTCCATCGGACCGAGTGTGGGTCCGGTGGGCCCCTTCTGAGGTGTGTGACCTCGGGTGGCCACTGGACCCCTTTGGCCCATGTGTGAGTCCATCTACAGAGTGGAGTTTGCTTGGACAGCTCCCTCATGGTCTGAGGACAGATGTGCAATGCTTAGCGAGTGGATGTGCTGAAAAATCAGCCCCTTTGATATTCTTGCCCTACAGCTGCGAGTCACAGACTAAGGCGTCATTTCCAGCTTCTAGAAAGTTACCACATCTGGGAGCTCACTCAGTTCTTAGCCACTTTTAACATATGACAGCTTTTTTTTTAAAGTTGGAATCTCACTCTGTCGCCCAGACTGGAGTTGAAGGGTACAGGAGACAGCCAGAGGGGCGGTTCCCAAAATGGCGCCGACCATGGTAAAGTCACACTAGACAACAAAGGCCCTAAGTTCTGGCTTCTTCATGCACGATTCCCCTCACGCGCGAAGTTCAAACCTGCAAGCCTCCAATCATTTCCCATGACGTAGCTAGCTTTGTTATACCCACCCTGCTCCCATGTCGCTCCTCCAATAAGAACCTAGCACAGCCCCTGCCAAGCCCATAAATACACCCCTCTCCCTGCATAACTCTCTTTC